TGGATCTTGGGAGACGAACATGGAGGGCATTTGAAATGTCCAGCTGGGAGGTGGCAAACGTGCGGATGAGGTAGAAGCTGTGGGTGTGAGTTATGGTCAGGGAGGGCAATGCGATAGAGGTGGAAAAAAACGATCCTGGTCAGGGAACGAAATTGGGGAAGACAGTAAAGCTGTGGATCTAACCTGACTCCTAGGTTGCGCAGGAGTTTGTGCGTTTGGGCGAGATCCTGGGGAGGTTGAGGGGTTTGGACCCACAGGAACGAAGAGGTTAGCGGGAGCCTAATAGTGTGGCTTCTGTCTTGCAGACGTTCACCTGGAGGAAGTTTGCGCTCATCCAGACTTTGTTGTCCGTCAGACAAACTGACAGGAGATTAGTGGACTGGGAGACATAAATAGAGGAGAAGCAGGAGGCGGAGAAGTAGATTTGAGTGTCATCCGCATACATGTAGGCTGTATCCACTCTACCCATCAGGGGTGTGGTTTACAGCGATAACAGGAGCTGTAAGTGAAAGACTAGACATGTCTTCCACTCCAAGACTTGCCCATGTGCCAGGCTGGTTGGTCTGTCACTGCACAACCTGCCCATGTGACAGGCTGTCCAGTCTGTCGGTGCAATACTTGCCCATGTGCCCGGCTGGCTGGTCTGTCACTGCAAAACTTGCCCGTGTGCCTGGCTGGCTGGTCTGTCACTGCAAAACTTGCCCATGTGCCAGGCTGGCTGGTTTGTATCACCTGGGTTTTGGTTCATGAACCGTCAAACAAGTCCAGATCTTCAATTAAACAAACTGGGATTTGCTCAATCAAAATCGACATTGACAGATCTCCCAGTTCCAAGGCTGGTGAGATGAAAGTATTTATTTATGTGTAAAAGTACTTGATAAACTACTTACCTTTGTTCGTTATCGTCTCTTTAAGACTTTCCTCAAAGTCAGGTAAAGAGAAGACATTGCCTTCTGGTGTGTTGCCGGGTGTCTGATGCACACCGCAGATCATCGCATCGCCCTGTGCATTGGCTATCGGTTCAGTTTCATTGGAAGCCATCTCACTCGACGCACCCAAAATGCTGGAACACTGGTTGGGATTTGAAACCATATCACAATGTGTTTGGGTAACTGCAGATGTACTCGCTGTTTCATTCCCGCCAGTTGTGGATGTGTTTGGTTGTGGTGATGGTGACCATTTCATTGATTCATCAGGTTTTTCATGTCTCGGTGTTTCAGAGTTTTGTTTCCTCTTTCCCAGCAATGTTCCAACAAGGCGTTTCATTGCTGCTAAGTGCAGCCGAGCTGGTGGTGAGTTTTGTGACAGGTGTTGAGCCTTATTTATGTTTATTGTAGAACAACGTTTACAAGGTGATCAGGGAATCCAGACGTGATCTACCAGACAATACCATCAGGCTTGCGTGTCCAATGACTTTCCTTCTTTCTCACATTTGACATTTATCCTGCGAATGAAGTAAACTGTAAGTCAGGGTAACAAACAGGATTTAAGCAAATCAGATTTGCTTACTGAAAAGGATAAATTTACTAACTTTTCTTGCATTTGGTTTCGTTCAAGTGAGGAGGATGTCTAAAACCTTCCCCATTTACTGTAATTGTTGTGAATTTGTATTTCAGAGGTGAATGCATCAGCCAATTTCATAGAATCATAGAATTATACAGCAGAGAATAGCTACCATCATGCCTGTTCCAGCTCTTTGAAAAGAGCTGTCCAAATCCATTCCCAGCTCTCCCCCATAGTCCTGCAAACATATCTCCCAAATAATTACCTACTTCTCTCTTAAATAAAAGTTGTTATCGAATCCCCCAGCCTTTCAGCCAATGCATTCCAGATTCCAACAACTCCTTGTGTTTAAAAAAAATCAACTCACCCTGTTTCTTTTAACATCTATTTTTAATCAGTGTACTCAGATACAGACCCACCCGCCAGTAGAAACAGTTTCTCCTCGTTCATCATATTGAATTCCCTCATAATTTTGAAAACTTCCATTAAGTCTCCTCTTAGCTTTCTCTGCTCCAAGGAGAATAATCCCAGCTTTTCTTGCCTCTCCTGATAACTGAAGTCGCTCATTGCAGGTACTATCCTGGAAAATCTACTTTGCACCTTTTCCAATACCTTGAGAGGTAACTCAAGTGTGGTGCCCAGAACTGAACAGTCTCCAGCTGAGGCCTGACCAGTTTTTATTAAGGTTCACCATAATTTCCTGAGTATTATATTCTATGCCCCTATTTATAAAGCCAAGTACCCGAATGCTTTTTAAAAAACCTTTACCTGACCTGGCAATTCAAAGATTACTTATATGAACTCCAAGGTCTCTCTGTTCCTTCACCCCCTTTAAGATTGTACCATCAGCTTATATTTCCACAGTCTTCCTCCAAAATACATCACTTCGCATTTCTCACATTTCTTCATCTGCCACATGTCTGCCCATTTACCAGTCTGTCTATTACCTCTTGCAGTCTGTTACTATCACTATTTGCTACTTGTCCGAGCTTACTATCATCTGGAAACTTGCAAATTGTACTCCCTATACCCATGTCCAAGTTATTTATATAGATAAATGCACACCAGTGGTCCGACAACCCCTCCGACCCCCACCCTGGGGCATAACACTGCACACTTCCCTCCAGCCAGAAAAACAACTGTTCACCAGCGCTCTCTGCTTTCTGTCTCCCATTTCGTCTATTTGGTGACAGCAACAGCTCGAATTTATACGACTCTTCCTTTGCTAAATCTATGGAGAGATCTTGGGTGAAAGGCGATGTACAAATGTAATTTTGTAATTTTCTATTGTAATACTATTACTACCACTAATATTACTATTATTTTTACTTATTACATATTACATTTACATGGTACCATTCACACCAAGAGGACATCACTAACTGCTTCACGAGATTTTGTAGCAAACACATCAGCCAAATAGAAACAGCAATGGCCTTTGAATAGCTTGAAGTGAGTAACCAATTGTATTTGAGGATTTTTTCCATAACACTGGGAGAAACATGTTTAGCCCTGTGATAAAACCTAAGATTCCACCGAGGGTTTATTGCTATCAAATCATGGTTCATCAGTCCTTCAATCCGAAATAGCATCTTAGGTTGTATAATCAAGTTCAATCATCAACTAAAGCCCCGGCTTCTTGTTCTGCATTTGTTTCATTGCTTGTACAGAAAGACAGGAAACCAGGCGCGGATAACTAACCACAGGATGTGCAGAGCTGAACTCACAGCCGTCCTCTCTTGTTCCTCTCTGTTGCTGACAGTCACAGCACGAGAGCAAAGGGCAAAAATAACATGTAAATCAAACACAACTCAAATATACCATCAACAAATAGCAACAGTTCAAACTGGGGCCGTTCCTTCCACTGACAATCAGATGGTTGAGAATGTAGATTTGGTGTAAATCCTGTTAATTTGAGTTGGAAAACCATGCTGTAGTGAGTTCGCTCATGTCGCCACAATCAGGGCGTTACCCACACAGACCAGACCAGCGGTTTATATCTTCATGAACAGAGAAACAGCCCCTCAAAATGGCTGTCACAGGCCCGGATACAACAAAATGTCTGCTCTGGGCCACTGAGGCCTGGTAAAGTCTGGTGTGTGCCACCACCTCCATAGCTACACACATAGACACACAAAGTCACACACACACACACACTCAGAAAGCCAAATAGACACACACACTCACATACAGACACATACACCTACACACAACAAACACGCACACCTAGACATACATACACAAATAGACATACACAAATACATACATACACAGACAGAGATAAATATAGAGAGAGGGACACAGAGACACATACACAGATGTATACAACAGTCCGGAGATACAGAGAGAAAATTTGAAGAAAATACGAGAGGGAGACACACATGCACACTGACAAAGGAGGAGAGAGGTACACAAACAACAGACAGACTGATAGATACACAGACACAGAGAGAGGAAACATGACAAACAGACACATACGAGCACACATACAGACAGAGAGAAATACACACGTGTAAGAGAGATATAACAGAGAGAGGGAGATAACCATATACAAACATACAGAGACAGAGATACTGATTATACAGAGTGAGCGAGAGAGAGAGAAAACATACACACACACATATACATATATAGAAAGATACACACACAAACAGATACAGAGAGGGAGACAGAGACATAGACACAGACAGATGCACAATCATTCCGCCAGAGAGAGACAGAGACAGGGACGCAGAGAGATAGACACACGCAGAATCAGAGAGACAAAGGAAGAGACACAGAGAACTAAACATACACAGACCCAGAGAGACAGGGCAACAGACACACACACACAGATATACACACACTATAGGCAGAGAGAGAGAGAGATACAAGGGTACACTCACGACACGCACAGTAACAGACAGAGTGAGATACACACAGAGAGATATTCACACAGACAGACAGGCAGAAAGGTTGAGAGAGAGTTAAGGCAGAGCGAGACACACATATTGGGAAACATACAGAAAAAGAGAACAGACAGACAGTGCTACACCCAAACACAGGGACACACAAAGGCAGATAGAGTGAGAATGAGAGGATGTTTCTGAAAATGATGTGATCTGTGTGTCTACTCTCTTAACTTCATCATAGCTGTCACAGGACAGAGAACCACACAATGTCTGCTCTGACCACTGAGGCCTGGTAAAGTGTGGTGTTGACAGTGCCTCCCATCATCACAACACACATAGATACACATAACACACAAAGACATAGAGACGTACACACATACGCAATATAAACACACAGGAAATGCACATCACAACACAACAAAAAATAGACACTCACACACAGACAGTCATATACACACAAGAGACATATACACACACGAGATATACACACACGAAACAATACACAGAGAAATTACACAGAAATGTGACTAATACGCCAATGCTACTGACAGAACAAAAAAATAGAACAAAACAGTAATACGATAGGAGCAACACACTAATATACACAGCAATATTCTGAACATCAGACCACAAGAAGAGAACAACACACATAGAGAAAGAAAGAGATCACAGCACGTGCACACACAGGCGAGGCACACAGTGATGAGATGAGTAGTTTACCAGAAAAAAACAAAAGTAGATAGGGAGATACACACAGAGAATCAATCGGTACAAAAACAAACACGTGAGAATCACAAGATAATAGACAACAGGGAGTGCAGATGAGAGGCTACAATAGAGTAGATACACAACAGACAACAAAAGTAGACAAGAGAGCATGCAATAGACAGAGACGAGCACCAGAGGATCACAGGACCAAGAGAAATCGACGACGGAGACACACTGAGAGATCAGAGCGGAGACGAACCATATACATACAGAGATAGCGAGAGAGAGACCACCACATAGAAAGAAACACCATACAGGAGACAAAGACACAGCATGACTCATACGTCAGAGACGAACACAAGCAGAGTAATCACACGCAGAATCAGAGAGACACAGGGGAGACACAGAGAACTAAACATACACAGACCCAGAGAGACAGAACAAGAGACACACACACAGATACACACATAGCAAGAAGAAGACAGAGACACAATAAAAGCTGAAAGACGAGATACTCATAGGGAGCCTGTATCAGTGAGAGATCACTTGCAAGCGAGAACCCGAGTCAACCAGGAGGGCAAAACCTGCAATATCCTCATAACAGAGCCAAAATAATCCCTCAAAAAAAAAAAATAAAGCATTCATCTAGACTGGGACAGCAAGGCATGCCACAAATATACAGTCAATCACTTAATGGTTCTGTGAAGCCTTGAGCTGAGTGAAGGCTATATCAATGCAGGATTTTTATACCTTAACATAGCTCCACAGGCCTGGGTACAACCACATGACTGCTCTGGACCACGAGACCTGGTGAAGGCTGGTGTGTGGCAGCATCTCTGCAACACATACAGACACAGACCAGACAATGGACACAACATATAGACACCCACCTATACATACCTAAACACCACAAACACAAATACACACACAAGCACAAGGTACAGAACCAACGATACAGGAGAGCATGAGAGATACACACACACAAACACACACTGTGCACAGACAGAGACATATAGAGACTGAGAGAGAAAGATTCAAGAGAGACATACACACACATACACAGATACCGATGAATTTTAATGCTGTTGATGTCACACATATCCCTGGAAAGGAGAACACAAAGTGTGGGCACGCACTCCCTGCGCCATATTTGGCCAAAGTGAGAAGTTAGAGGGTTTCAGTCAACAGTAAAGTTTCTGTTCTGCATCTGTCTCATTACTTGTACAGAAAAACAGGAAACCAGGCGCTGAGGTGACTAACCACAGGGGATTGCAGAATTGAACTCACAGCCTCTTGTTCCTTTCTGTTGGTGACGATCATAGCACGAGAGCAAAGGGCAAAATTACATGAATAATCAAAAACAGCTCAAATATACCATCAACCATAGCAACAGCTCAAATGGGGCCGTTTGTTATGAAATCGACGTTGATAACATAGATTTGGATAATCCTGTTAATTTGATGTAAACCATGTGTGCTGAATTCACTAGTGTCCCAGATGAGGGCATAAACGCACCAGCCTGCGATCTTATCAACACAGACACAGAGTTAAAAACAGTCTGTACCAGACTACGGAATACAGAGATACACAGTATAAGAGAAAATGGAATAAACCAGTTCGATATAGAATACTTCACCACACAGAGAGACAGATAGTATACACACACACAGAAACACACACAGAAGCGATACAAATAGAGACAGAACAGAGAGGGATACAGAACACACAGACAGAAATCACAGACACACCACACAAAGACATAGAGAGAGATAGAGACACACACAGACAGACACAGAGAGAGCACACAGAAAGATACAAGCACACACATACAAAGTGAGAGAGAGAGAAAGAGATACCCACAACAGAGTGATCAACAGAGAGAGTCAGAGAGACACACACACGCACAGAGAGATACACTGAGACATACATAGAGAGAGAGAGGGAGAGAGATGGATACACACAGACAGCGGGAGTTACAGGCAGATAAAGAGAGACAGAATGTATTATTACCCACAAAAAGCAATCCACCAATTGACTAACAAGCGAGTTCCCACTTACAGCTGCATAAACAGAGGTGTGTGTGTGTGTGTAGGGAAACTTGCCTATGGTTTTGCTCTGCCCGGGATCGATCCCATTTCCTCTCGTTTGCGAGGCGAGTGCTATTTTGACGGCGCTCTAACCATTAAGCTTTCAACTTCGATTCCAAGACACTCTCATTCGTTTTGAAGTTATATAGTCCCCTCACACCTCCCTACACAGCCGATCGCTGACCCACCACACCCCATACCCCCCCACCCACCCACTCCACCACACACTGCTCCACGTGGCTGCCTCCGGCCTCCGAGTGTCCCCTCGTGTCAAGTGTTCCACCTTCAGTCAATATGCCCCGAAATTCTGGAAATCTTTCCCTCAATTCCTCCGCCTCGCCCCTCCCTCCACACCTTCATATCCTGCCAAAAACATTCCTGTTTGATCGTGCTAATGGTCACCTCCCTCCTCCCTCTCCCCATAGCTTGGGGTCAGACTCTGCCACTGTCAAGTGCTCCAGGAAGCTCCCACGCATGAAGGGACTTTGCAATATGCGTTGTTGGAAGCTACAGGACTCCACAAATCTGCAAATCTAAAGTGACTGGTGCTGAGGTTAAACATTAATGTAAATGATGTTGAGGGAATTGATGCCCTGAGCCTACCTTGGTGCTGTCTGTGGCCAGATGCTGACGGGGGTGAATTCCCTCCTCGTGGTCTCTCTCTGTCTCCCTCTGAGCTGCTGATCTCCTGTTCAGAGCAAAGGAAATGTTCACTTGCTGGTGCTGCCTCTGACACAGTAACTTACGAAGCTGCTGCTGTCTGTCTGTCTGTATGTCTGCCCGGCTTCTGGTGTCACAATCTCCTCTCTGAACCCTGGTTGGCTCCAGTTCCTCACAATGTGCTGTAAACATCTGATTGGTTTGGTTAAAGAAGCCCCTTCGGCCCAATTATCATCTTTACAGAAACCGCACTTCCCCTTCTGCCATCACAGCACAGAGCTGTCTGTGTCTCAGACTCCTGACCCCACAGCCTCCACACACTATTCTTGATGTTGCTGAGCCTCTCAGTAAAGGATCCTGTCCTGTGTCTGTGTGAGAAGTGTCTCCTTGGAGCTGCACTGGGTCCAATGGATGTGGGCATCAAGTTAGCCCTCTGTGAGGGTCTCCAGTCCTGTTCCTGAGCAGGAGGGCGGCAGTATTCCAGGGCACTCTCTGCTGATGACAGCACAGCCCATCGTCAGGACCTGGAAGGGCAGATCAGTCACAGGGGGCAGGGAATCCTGGATTCGACAGGGAGGAGTGGGTGAGGGAGCAGTTGTGTAGGGGTGGGAAGGGGTCGGTGTGCGTGAGGAGGTGGAGGGGTAATCGGGGGGGGGAGTGGGTTCGTGGTGGTGGTGTTGGCAGGGGGAGTGGGTGACCCAAAGTTGGAAATGGTTCTCGGGTTGGATTGGCCACCAGTGCAAACCCTCATGTAAACAATCAGGATCGGCTGGTTTGTGCTGCTGGTGTCATACACAGTACAGGACAGGCAGAGCATACAGTGTCACTGTCCTCCCTACACACACAGATGCATTCACACACACACAAAGATACATACACAGAGACATATACATACGCAGAGAAACACACACAGATGCAGAGAGAGATGCACAGAGATACACTTTAATTCTGCTGGTGTCACACACAGTCCGGGACAGGCAGAGCACATAGTGTGACCACTGCCCTCCCTACACACACACACACACACAGAGACACACAGTCCGGGACAGGAAGAGCACATAGTGTGACCACTGCCCTCCCTACACACACACACAGACACACAGTCCAGGACAGGCAGAGCACATAGTGTGACCACTGCCCTCCCTACACACACACACACACACACAGAGACACACAGTCCAGGACAGGCAGAGCACATAGTGTGACCACTGCCCTCCCTACACACACACACACAGAGAGACACAGCCCGGGACAGGCAGAGCACACGGTGTGGGCACTGCCCTCCCTGCTCCATGGTTGGCCACAGTAAGAAGTCAGTGTTTTCAGTCTAAACAGCTAAAGCCGCGGCTTCTTGTTCTGCATTTGTCCCATTGTTTGTACAGAAAGACAGGAAACAGGCGCTGGGGATGTGCAGAGCTGAACTCACAGCCTCTGTCCCTCTCTACTGCTGACAGTCACAGCACGAGAGCAAAGGGCAAAAACAACACGTAGATCAACACAGCTCAAATATACCATCAACACACAGCGACAGCTCAAACTGTTTGTTTCACTGACAGTCGGAAATTATAGAATGTAGGTTTTGTGTAAAACGGCTTATTTCAACTGTAAAACCATGTGTAGTGAATCACTTGTGTAAACACTGTCAGGGCGTTACCCACACAGCCCAGACCTGCAGTTTATATCTTTGTTAACAGAGAAATTCCATAAACACACAATTTCCTCTCTGGGCCTCAGTGAGAGTCAGTAACTGACTGGAATAGACACACACACACACAGATACAAACAAGCAGACAGAGACACCCACGTAGAGAGAGAGGGAGATACCCACAAACACACCCACCCACAAATACAGGCAGAGAGAGAGACTTACAGAGACACACATACATATACACATACACAGAATCTGCACACACACACACAGGCAGAGAGAGGTTCAGAGACACACTTACGCATACAGACACATACAGACTGAGACAGACAGACACACTCACAGATACACTCACACACAGACGCATGGAAATACAGAGAGAGAAAGAGACAGGTAGACCACACCGACAGACAACGATACGATATAAAAATATATTTGTATTGCCGCCTTTCATGTCAGGAGGACGTCCCAAGGCCCATCGAGATACACACAGACAGAGGCTCTGCCCAAGGTATGGAGGCAAAGACGGAACCAACAGGAGAGCCTCGGAGCAGAGCTGTACACAGTGCTCCAGAGTGCGGCAGATCAGAGCACTGTTATCTGGGCCTGTTATGGGGCCTGTTATCTGCAGATCTAAATCGAACTCGTGCTGAGGTTAAACATTAATGGCAATGATCTTCCAGTTACTCGACACCCTGAGCCTACCTTGGGGCTGATATCTGTGTCCAGGTGATGATGGGGCTGGAGTCTGGCCTCACACTAACTCCTGGCCTGTCTCTCTCTGAGCTGCTGATTCCTGTTCAGAACAAAAGGAAGTTTGACTTCCTGGTTCTGCCTCAAACGCAGTAACTAAGCTGCAGTTCGCTGAGCAATGGGAATCCTGGCTCGGCTCAGCTGCTCTCAATGTGCTGGAAACATCTGACTGGTTTGCATGAAGAAGAACCTTCCACCCATTTATCTCATTCTCCAAAACCCCCCACTAACTTCCCCAACACCAACATACTCCCTCCTCCTGCCCCCAGCACCCTCCCTCCTCCTGCCCCCAGGCCCAGCAACCTCCCTCCTCCTGCCCCCCAGCCCCCTCCCTCCTCCTGCCCCCAGCCCAGCACCCTCCCTCCTCCTGCCCCCCAGCCCCAGCACCCTCCCTCCTCCTGCCCCCAGCCACAGCACCCTCCCCCTCCTGCCCCCAGCCCACACACACCCTCCTCCTGCCCCCAGCCCAATCACTCCTCCTTCCCCACAGCTCCAGCCCAATCACTCCTCCTTCCCCCAGCCCAGCACACTCCCTCCTCCTTCCCCCAGCCCCAGCAACCTCCCTCCTCCTGCCCCCCAGCCACAGCACCCTCCCCCTCCTGCCCCCCAGCCCAGCACCTCTCCCTCCTCCTGCCCCCCTGCTCCAGCACCCTCCCTCCTCCTGCCCCCCAGCCCCAGCACACAGCCGCCTCCTGCCCCCAGCCCAATCACTCCTCCTTCCCCACAGTTCTAGCACACTCTCTCCTCCTGTCCCCCATCCCCAGCCCACTCCCTGCTCCTGCCCCCCAGCCCACTCCCTCCTCCTGCCCCCAGCCCACTCCCTCCTCCTGCCCCCAGCCCACTCCCTCTTCCTGCCCCCCAACCCCAGCACACTCCCTCCTCCTGCCCCCATCCCCAGCCCACTTCCTCCTCCTGCCCCCCCCAACCCTCCCTCTTACTGCCCCTACCCACCCAGCACACGCCCTACTCCTGCCCCCAGCCCACTCCCTGCTCCTGCGCCCCCAGCCCCATCAACACATTAGCAACAGCTCAAACTGGGGCTGTTTATTTCACTGACAGTCGGACCGTTGAGAATGTAGTATTCGTGTCAATCCAGTTAGTTTGAGCTGTAAAACCATGTTGTAATGAGTTTTCCTCGTGTCACCACAATCAGGGTGTTAGCAACACAGCCCAGAACTGCAGTTTATGTTTATTAACAGAGAAACAGCCACTGAAAATGGCTGTCACAGGCCCGGCCGGGTACAAAAAAATGTCTGCTCTAGGCTACTGAGGTCTGCTAAAGCCTAGTGAGTGCCAACACCTCCATAACTATACACATAGACATATACACACACACACGCACATCTTGACATACACACATATAGACATAGACTGACATAGACATATACATAAAGACATACACAGTCAGATACAGGGACACACAGACAGAGATAAATACAGAGGGAGGGAGACATACACACAGACAAACAGAGATAGACGGACAAACAGACACACTCACAGATACAACACAGACCATAAGATTATAACACGTAGTATCAGGAGTAGGCCATACAGCCCCTTGACCTGCCCGGCCATTTAATACAACAACAACAAGATTCCATTTATTGAGCGTCTTTCACGTCGGGAGGACGTCCAAGGCGCTGTACAGTCAAGTCATGACCCGACAAGGGGGAAATGGTCAGGGTGAGGGGAGGGAAGGGAGGGAGCGAGGAGGGGGTAGAGAGTCGAGAGGGGAGCTGAAGGCTCGGTCAAAGAGAAAGGTCTTGAGATCGGCCTTGAAGGAGGAAAGGGAGGAAGCGGCGAAGGCACTGGGGATAGAGTTCCAGAGCCTCGGGGCTGAGAGGCTGAAGGTCCGGCCACCGATGGTAGGGCGGTTGGGGCGGGGGATGTGGAGCAGACCGGAGCCAGAGGAACGGAGGGTACAGGCAGGTACATGGGGTGATAGTAGGTCGGAGAGGTAGGAGGGATCTTCTAACCCAATTCCATTTACCCGTCCTATCCCCATAATCCCTTAATCCCTCTATCCTTTAGATAGACAGAGAGAGAGGGATACAGACAAACAGAAACAGTTAAGAGACACACAGGCAGAGAGACACACTCTCACACAAAAATACAGGCAGAGAGAGATTTGCAGAGACACACATACATACACAAAGATACAGAATCTGCAGACACACACACACACACAGGCCAGAGGATCAGAGACACATTCACGCACACAGACATGTAGACTAAGATAGACACAGATAAAGATACACTCACACAAGACAGACACATGGAAATAAAGAGAGAAAGAGACAAGTAGACACACACCGACAGACAATGATACAAAAATATATTTGTATTGCGCCTTTCATGTCAGGAGGACGTCCGAAAGGCCCATCGAGATACACACAGACAGAGACTCTGCCCAAGGTATGGAGGCAAAAACGGGATCCAACAGGAGAGCCTCGGAGCAGAGCTGTACACAGTACTCCAGAGTGCGGCAGATCAGAGCACTGCACAGATGGGGCCCGTTATCTGCAGATCTAAATCGAACTCGTGCTGAGGTTAAACATTAATGTCAATGATCTTCCAGTTACTCGACACCCTGAGCCTACCTTGGGGCTGATATCTGTGTCCAGGTGATGATGGGGCTGGAGTCTGGCCTCACACTAACTCCTGGCCCTGTCTCTCTCTGAGCTGCTGATTCCTGTTCAGAACAAAAGAAAGTTTGACTTCCTGTTCTGCTTCAAACGCAGTAACTGAAGCTGCAGTTCGCTGAGCAATGGGAATCCTGGCTCGGCTCAGCTGCTCTCAATGTGCTGGAAACATCTGACTGGTTTGCATGAAGAAGAACCCTCCGCCCATTTATCTCATTCTCCAAAACCAACCCCCCACTAATTTTCCCAAACCCCAACACACTCCCTCCTCCTGCCCCACAGCCCCAACACACTCCCTCCTCCTGCCCCACAGCCCCAACACACTCCCTCCTCCTGCCCCCCAGCACAATCCCTCCTCCTGCCCCCCAGCCCACTGCTGCCCCCCAGGCCACTGCTGTCCCCCAGCCCACTGCTGCCCCCCAGCCGCACAGACCCAGCAAATTCCCCCACCTACACACAGCCACAGCGCACGCCCTCCTCCTGCCCCCAGCCCAGAGCACACTCCCTCCTCCTGCCCCCAGCCCAGAGCCCCTTTCTCTGTGTGTTTATCACATTAAACACTGACACAAACACTCACCTGATCTCCTCCAGACTGGTGCAGGTCTGTATGAGGCGGCGGAGAGCGGGGACAGAGCCGTCTGTGAAGGAGTTAAGGCTCAGGTCCAGGATCCTCAGTGAGCGGTTTGTACTGAGAGCGGAGACCAGAGCATCAGTGCAGCCATCGGTCAGTCTGTTACTGTACAGCCTTGAGATCAGAGACACAGAGACATGACAGGGATCAGAGTAAACACAGTGGGTATAACCCACTGTCACTCACAGTTTGTTTGATGCCGGACAGGTTGCAGGAGTTCATACACACAAAAACACACACACACACCAACACACACAAACACAGACAAAAACATCGCCGCAGATACACACTTACTCTCACACACACAAATACACACAAACACATGACCCACAGAAAAATACACACAAACACACACAAACAGAGTCACATGAACAGAGAGACGCGCACACAGACACACACATACACACATAAATACACACACTCACACAGACAAACAAACACTCTCACACAAACGCGCTCACACAGAAACATACACAATCACACCCAAAAACTCACCCACGCAAACACATACGTACGCAAACACACACACAAAAACTCACACAAGCAAACACACACACACACAAACAATCAATCATTCACACAAACACACACACAAACAATCAATCATTTACACAAACGCACACACATATCCACACAAACACAACCGCACACAAACACAGAAAAAAACCCACGCACGCACAAACACGCATACACACACAAACATACATAAACATTCACAAACACACACAAATACACACACACAGAAACACACATACAAACGTACACGAAAACAGACTGACAAACACGCACACACAAACACCTACAAACATACAAACGTACATAGAGATACACTCCAAAACACACAAACACAAACAGAAGCACATCATGTACAAACAAACACACACATATAAATAGACATACATAGGTACACACAAAAATATGCACACACAAACTCACACAAATTCACACAAACACGCACAAACACGCACAAACACTCACAAAAGCACTCAAAAACTCATACACACAAAATCGAACACACGCCAACACACACACTCAAACACACACACACGCAAACATAAGCACAATCACTCACACAAGCACACGTACAAACAAACAAAATGGCACACACACACACATAAATACATACATATACCCACACACAAACACATGACCCACCGTCAACTTACACACACACAGACACACACGAAAACACACTCATGCAAGCACACACACATACACACACAAACAAACACATGTCGAATAGACAAATACAGACACACACAGAGATACACACACATACACAGAGAAACAAACAGAAACAAACACACACACTCACAGAAACACAAACAAACGGACACACACACAAACACACGCAAACATACACGTAAACACACACACTGAAAAAAGCACACAAGTACACACACAAATACACATACACAGACATACACAAACATACATAACCATACACGCGAAAACACACACACAAATACACACACAAACAAAGACACACAAAAAAGCAAACTCACAAATTCGCACACACAAAAACACAACACACAATCAGACACACGCATAGAAACATACATAAAGACAATGAGACACACACTCAAAAACACACAGACAAACAAACACAAAATCAAATAGAAACACAGCCATAAAAACACATACATAGATTCACACAGACAAACATACGCAAACACACACACACAAACACACACAGAAAAACACACAAACATAAATACACATACACACAACTAAACAC